TGGTTGTTTCAATAAAATAAATTGCAAAATGGTACGGGTTTCTTTTGTTTTTTATATGTTTGCATCACTACCATTTTTATAATATATTATTAATATATGCTATAATATTATAAACAATGAACGCACCTTTTTTAAATTTAAAGATCGATAGCTGCCCATGCTTGCTCAATAGGCGCAACTCGAAGTTCGAACATCGAAACAAACGATTATCCGTGTGACAGTGAACCTGTCACTCATTTAATTGCGATCGTCACGACCTTTTTACTTTACTAAGAGGTATTTTTATATCAAAGTTGTGGTTTGAACATAATCAGTACCCTTTCCACTTCTAAACTACCTGTAAGAGAAAGAATATTTTTGGGAAAGATTTATGCAGATAGTTTTAAAACTAAGGGACTAGGGAAATAAAACAGCTGACTGCCGCTACTGCTCTTAACAAAAACCTATGATTTGCTTTAGTTTTCCAGGCCAATCTCTGATCAACATTTGGCCCGCTACTTATTTTAAAGGCAGTGATGGAAACTGAACAACTCGTGTGTATTGTATTGTATTGTACTGTATTGCCCGAAATAATTCAAAGATTGTTTGTTTGATTTTACCAATGTTTTTGCAACTTTTGGCAAATAACGAGTTGAGAAGACAACAACTGTTTGACATTAAACGCAATAACCGAAATTTAAGATGCAATTCTAACATTTTTTATTTGTCAGATCGCCAGTGAGTAACTAATATTTCGAAATTACTTTAACAACTGAAAGTTTTGCAGACTTTTGCAATCTTGACAAAGATCTATTTCTTTTCCTTATTGACCCGACTTAGGGCATCCTTGGATTGCCCATGATATCCAGCTTGCGACAGTCCTTCCATTCCTGGCAACCGGGTCGTACATTTTGTATTTTAAATTTTGTGCGTATATCAGCTGCTAGGCACCAGTGTTGCAAACATTTTAGAAGTGGTGTTTGGGACAAAAGTTGCAAAAGACGATAAAAAGGTCTCAACACAACACGCTTTGCACAATAAGTACATTAAATTAAGGGGTAATAAGAACAAAAACAATTTTTAAAGTAGACTTAGATTATTTACACTGCTAACCATATAAAAACAAACCGAAAAGTGTTTGCTAAAAATAAGTCCCAAGAAAATAATTTATTTTCGTACCATGACAACCCTTGCTTTGTTTCTATCAAATTCGTCGGCGGATTTACAAAACTCGAGTAGGTTAGAATCGAAGCGATTCTGAGGTGCCATCACAAAATAATTTAAAAAAAATCAAATATGTTACTATTTTCTAAATCTATTATGCATCAAAGTTGTGAACCTTTCACATGTAGTGTTGGGAACAGGAGTTGCCAAAGGCGTTGAAAAAGGTCCCAATTTATTTATTCGCCAAAGGATTAAATCCTCATCTGTCTTATGGGGTAACATAACTATAAAACTAGATATTATTTACAAATAATTTCTTAAGCAATTGCCTAAGCACATTGTTCTTGAATCCCCAATCCAATCGAATACTCGCTGGCAAAGAGTTAAAAATTCTCAAAGCTCTTAAATTTGGCTCATTCCGCGCATAATTGGTTCTCGCAGCACTTTCGTTAATTGGGATGACGGTACGGAGATTCCTGGCTGGAACGTTAAATTTAATTGAGTTTAATAGGAAGGGACTATAATTTTACCTATTATTATATCATTGAGAAAGAGCAAGCTCGCTATTGAACGTGTATCTACAAGACTCCGGGTATGCAGTAGGTAACATTGGCCAAAGTAAGCTGGCAAAGGTTCTCAATTCAATTAATATCTACAACGCTTGAAGGGTTCTAAATAAAGGAAGCATATTTCACCCTTAAACGCAAAAATGCAGACAACACCGTTTGTCTTGAGTATGGGTCCCTAAACAGTACAGTGTTTCTTTTGACAAATCCGAACATTGCTTATGACTTCGGCAGTACATATATGGCTTATATGATTGATAAACAAAAGTGTACTGTCAAAGAGGATCCATAATCTCAATAAGTGTTGAGTGCGATTGGCTATTAATAAAATATGTTGAAATATTAATAGCGAACAAGATAACATTTATTTAGGTTGAGAGGCAAATTGTTCTGCATACACAGTAAACTGATTTTGATCAAGTCAGATTGTAGCAAATGACTGTCATTAATGGAATTCACTGGCTTGTAAATTTTAAGGTAATCCGCATCATTAATGAAAATAACAAAGAGCAAAGGACCAAGAGTACTTGAGGATGACGAGAGGTTGCTTCATAGGAGTTAGGTACAAGCCAGCTGACTTCAACAAAATAGGATCGGTTTGCCAAATAATTTGAGATCCAATTTAGAAAAGAAGAATGAATACCCAAGCTTGGAAAGTTTTAGATGCAAGGCAGAGTGAGAAACCTTGTCAAAGGCCTTGGCGAAGTCAGTAGCTCAAGCTTGAATGCAATGAAGTTGAGAACTGCAGTTATAAATAATGCACGAAAGTGAACCGCTAATAACGTCAATGCCAGCGACGTCGATTATTGAGGGTTTTTTGATGGAAGCTTGGTAGGGGTAGATGTACGTAATGGTTTTCCAACCAATATGTCCACAACTGCAGACTCCAAGTGCTGTCTATCCCTATGAATTAATCGGCTAACCTTAACTGATTGTGGCCAGAATTCACCGGTAAAACAGTCTGGTAATACTACTCCGGGACTCCAAGCTTAAAGTTAACCAATTTCAGAGTGCTAAGATCTACATTTGTTAAGGAATGTCATTACATGCTGTCAGAATTTACTTTTACTTGTCAGTAACAAACTTACACAGTGCCTCTGGCTTTGTGGTTACAGGGAATTTTCCAATATTCTAAATCTCTTGCTGGGAAATACTTCAAGTTGATCACAATTGTGCACCGAACCGATTCTTTTAATTTTTCTTGGGGACAACCTTAAAGACCTCTGTGGGAGGGTTATGGTCTGACGCAACGGGATTGAAATAATGGGAAGGATTGTTAATCACTTTTTCCTTCTTCCACTGTTTGGTTTTAACGTTAACTTTGCATGAATATGTAGGTAAAAGCTTTTAAGTTCACGAAGATCCTCTATGACCTCGTCTGTTTTTGAGTGCGAATCATTGCTCACTACGCAGCTATAACATTGCCATAATATATTCGTCATGTTAGTTGGCAATTGTATTGCCTCTTCGGGCAAGTTAACACACGAAGTGTGGAAAGTGCTATGACAAAGCGATGAACATCGAACCCCCTCAAAACCGCGAAGCTGTGTGTGTAATGGCAACACTGCACTAAGAGCAAGTAAATGGAGTCATTACGAAATAGAAAACGCATCTGCTCGTAACGAATGTTGATCAGAGACTGGTATTCTTTGATATTTTACGAACATATACTGCATAATAAAATTGGTTAATAATAACAATAAAGTTTCACACTAATTCGAATTTCCCAGACCTGTTCCAGTTTCACTTCTGAAAGATACACACAGAATCCAAATGCCCTCTTTTAATTCTCTGTTAGCTTCCGAAAAATGTAAGGTAATCTTTCTTTGAATTGATTTAATATACTTTGCGATAAGTTAAAGTGCAGATTATATTTTAACCTTATTCTTTTGTATTTTAAGAAAAATACTCCTTAGTAAAATTGGTTAATAATAACATGTTTTTTTATTACAATAAAAAAACAATATTTTAAGGGACTTATTTTAAGCACGCATTTTTTATGTCAATTTAAATATGATAAGATAGGTATTCAACCAAAGTTAAATTTAAAAGTTTTTTTGTTCTTATTACCGCTTCATTTAATGTTCTATTTTTGCGAAACGTGTTTCATTGGGACCTTTTTCATCAGCCCTGAGGCAGCAAAACTCTGAGAACATAGGGGACAGCTGCCAGTCAGCTGATTTTGTTTGGGAAAAGGCAAATCCGAAAATGGTATCATGTTCACTGGCGAGTGAATCCCGAAACAGGCCTGAATATTTCAGAAAAACGGTTTTAGTTTCATTAAAATTGGACGAGCATATAATAAAGCTCCAACACAAGGGAATATGAAGAAATTACTACTTCGCTGTTATTCAATTGATTTAAATATACTTCAATCTATAATTATTATTATTTTTGAAATAGGGTTTAAATTTTATTGTAGTAAAATTGGAAATATATTTAATAAAGCTGTCATGGGAACGATCGAATAATTTAGCTGCAAATAATGATTGCTTCAATTTTTATAACATATACGCATTTAATTCGCAATTTAGATGTTTTAAAGAATATGTATGAAAACTTTGGCTTGCCAATGTTTGCTTCCCCGTTTGGTTTTATTATTTATTAATTATTTTTGTAACGTAGCATATCGGATGCATTTCCGACCTCATGTCCGTCCGTTCGTATTTATGCTTTTAGTTTTAAAGCTATATGCATAAAAATTTTCCAAAAGTTGTCTTCCTATTGCAGGTAGTCAGATCGGACGACTATAACATGTAGCTCCCATAGAAACTATCGGGAAAAAAATGAAAAAAAAAATTTAACTTAGTGTAAGTAATGGTTTATTATTTCAGAATTGCGGTTTTAATTTGATTAAAAGCGGAATACTAAAGTAAATGAAAAAAAGTTAACTTCTCTATTTTTTTTTAATTCGTTTGGACTTAATAATTGTTTAATACCTGAGGTTAAAATCTTATACGCAAGTAATTCGAAATTTAGATGCTTTAAAGAATATATAATTTTTGCAATAGGTGCAAGGGTATATAAACTTCGGCTTGCTGAAGTTTGTTTCCTTTCTTGTGGTTATGGGTTTCGGAAAAAGCGGCAAGACTTTGGAAGACTTGCAGACTGAAAGCTTTTTCTTTGTCTTTCCTTGCGACAAGGGCCATTCTTACCGCCTCAAATTCACATATAGAAGGTTTTAAAAAATTAAATATTTTAACATTAGATTTCTACAAAATATTTGTAGATATTGCAATGCTATTTTACAAATAAGTCAAATTTTTAGTTTAATTATTTTATTTCTTTCAGCAAATGCGAAATTTCTCATGGCTTAAGAGGAGACAGAATATTACTATGGAATAAACCAAATACAAAAATAGAAAGAAGAACAAAAACCAATTGAACTTGAAGGCAACGAAACTCATTAGCATTGAATAAGACAAATCGAACTTATCAAACAAATCAAAGGCGTTAAAAACTCTTAAACACCATTTTGGACAAGCTGCGATCGACAAGCTAACCCTATAGTTTGTAAGACTAAAAATATGTTGCCGAGACGTTCAGGAAAGGGTATACGTACACCCAAACCGAATCGAGAGACATTGAGCGCTCCCGAAACAATTTCACTGGTGCTTTTGCTATGTTTGTCTCTTATTGGACGCGTCAGTGCTCAAGTTGGTAAGTTCCAATTAATATAGAGGAGGTAGTAATAGCTAATTCACATTAGCACCGTTTACTGTTTACCGTTTTTTATATCCTTGCAGAGGGTATTATAATTTCGCTCACATATATTATTGATCAGCATCACTAGGAGAGTCGATCTAGTCATGTCCGTCTGTCAGTCCGTTTCTACGCAAACTTGTCTCTCAGTTTTAAAGCTATTTACATAAAATTTTCCAAAAGTTGTCTTTCTATTGCAAGTAGTATATAAGTCGGAACGAGCCCAATCGGACGACTACAGCATATAGCTCCCATAGGAACAATCAGAAAAAAAAAATTTAATTTTGCTGTTTTTTAATTTTTATTTTATTGCTTCGATATTTAGTAATGGTTAAATATTTCAGAATTACGGTTTAAATTTCATCAAAATCGGACGACTATATCATATAGCTCCCATAGGAACAATCTGAAAAAAATACAAAAGAAATTATAACTTTGCTGTTTTTTAATTTTTTTTTAGTTCTTCGACATATAGTAATGGTTAAATATTTTAGAATAACATTTTGAATTTCATCAAAATCGGACGACCATATCATATAGCTCCCAGAAAAATAATAAAAATATATAAAATAACTATATAATTATTGAGCAGCAAACCATCATAGCTTCAATGTTTTTAATCATATACGCAAGTAAATCATAATTTCAATGTTTTCAAAAATGTTTAATTCTTGCAATACTTGTAGCTGCAAGGGTATATGAACTTCGGCTTGCCGAAGTTTGCTTTGTTCTTGTTTAAATTCTTTTTGATTTATTAATAATTTGACAGTTCAGAGTTATTTTTTAATTTTATTAAAATGGGAAAAATATATCATATAGGTGCATAAGGAACTATCGAATAATTAATCAGCCAATCATTATAGCTTAAATTTTTCTAAACAAGTAAATCATAATTTTAATGTTTTCAAGAATATTAATGTTTTACTCGTGAGTTGAAAATTGATATCCTCGAACGTTTTATTTTAATTTTTTCAAACTTATTAAATTAATAATCATATTATTAAGAAATTTTTGATACCCAATAGTTTAAAATTCAATAGTTAAGTTTCTCTGAACATTTTTTTTTTGGGTGTAGCCACATCCAATACATTTTCCATTATTTTATTTTCCAATTGGTTGACAGAGTAAGGACAAAGAATCTATAATACACTTACCTTAGCTGATGGAACATAAGTTTGTATGGACTTTAACTCAGGGGCCAAATTATTATGGAAAAGTACAATTAGTTCGTCGGAAGTTAAAAAGTTTCATTTTGTGTTCCTGTGTTATTAACGATTAAGTTGTCGTTTTTAAGATATTTGCATATCTTGTTAACTTTTTTGCATAGTTTTTGATTTAAAATAATTTCGCTTAAGATAACAAAAACTTTAAATTTTACTTTCAAAAAGAAATTATTTTAAAAATATTTAGTGAATATAATCTTCCTTTAACTTGAAGAACTTATTTTGCATACTTGGTGTTGCATACTTTTGGGGTAAAATTTATGCCAAGGCAGCGTTAGCTTCTCTGTACTGAGAAATTTTGCCGACTTGTTGATTAATAACTTTCCCATGTCCCAAGTATTTTTTATAAAAAGTTTTGGAATCTCAAGGGCTATATATTAAAAGAAATTGTTAAGTTTCATTATTTTTAATAACTATTATGTTGCTTTTTATTTAATAACACGAGTTTTTACCAACGAATTCCATAATATTATGACCACTTGCTTATTTTTAGGCTTATAAGGGACACAAATGTTCAGCAACAGGTATCCTTTATTAAAATTTTGCATAACATTAAAAAACTATCAAAAATAGTCTATAAATCGATATTTTTGACGATATTTTCAAATATCAAAATAATAATTTTTTAGAAAGCATTTATCATCGATACGATATTTAATAGACTTCCGACAACCCTAGTTAATATCACCTCGCATAATAACTCTCTGGCCTGACATTTAGAGGCGGTAGTGAAAAAAATAGATATTTCTTATCGAATAAATTCGGTTATCAGCTCTGTGTAAAAATTTCACAACTCTGTGACCACGTGTTATTTAAAGCGCATTATTTCTTTAAAAATTATATATATTTTATTATATATAATTAAAAATATCATCATAAAAAATAAAAAAAAAAATAAATGTACAAATTGAAATATTGCATTCAGTTCCTCTTTGTGAACATGATTCTTAAATTGATTTGACAAAAATTGAATCCAAAAGCAATTTTACGTTTGATGAGAAATTCAAGGCCATCTTCAAGGATTTCTAACAATAGAACTCAGTGGCACGATTATATGTAAAGCGCATATACGTATGAAGTTTGTTTTGTGTTTGGCTTCACAAAAATTCAGCTGAATAGATACAATTTTTATCAAAACCGAAACCTTAATCAAAATAGTTACATTCGTTGTAGCCGGTAACCGAAACCGATATTTGAATCCATTTTAATTCCTGATATATAAAAAAATTTAATTACAAAAACTTTTTATCCCCCCCCTCCGGTATTTTGAGTTATCTTGTAGTGCTATAAATTGTTTATTTTTGTTTGTTTCATAATTATTAAATGACAGCAATTGTACATACGAGATACTTTTTTAAAAAACACATGCTTCAAGTAAGAATTGAACCCGGGACCATAAGAACACTCGTCCACGCACCTTTCAACTTGTTAGTGACCAAAAGAAGCACAACTATTTTCTTTAAAAAGGCGAATTTTAATTTTATGCACAACATTAATTTTTAGAATAGGCAAACACCTAGATAAGCATTACAAAAATTAAAAACATATAAAAGTTTTACATTTAAAATTACACCAATAGATTTTTGTGTAAAAAAAGCTTAAAGTTATAAGCTTGTTCATTAGGATGTGTTATATAAAACTAGGAGAGCCGATTTAGCCATGTCCGTCTGTCCGTTAGTTTTAAAGCTATCTGCATGAAACTTTACCAAAATTTGTCCCTATATTGCATGTAGTTTACAGGTCGGAATGCGCTGAATCAGTCGACTATAGAATGTACCGCCTATAGGAACAATCGGAAAAAAAAGAAAAACAAACTATAATTTTGCTGTTTTTATATTTTTGTTTTATTTCATTTAGATATAGTGATGGTTTGTTGTTTTTAAATGGTAACATTTCTGTTTTATTTTTGTTTTTTTTTTGATATGTTAAGGGTTAAATAACTCAGAGTTACTCCTTTAGATTTTTTAAAATCGGGAAACGAAATCACACATCTTTCATAGGAATAATTGAGCATCATACATTCATTGATTTTAAACATATAGGCATAAATCGAAATTAATATATTTTCAAGAATATTTAATTTTTGCAATGGTTGCAAGGGTAAATAAACTTCGTCTTTCCGAAGTTTGCTTCTCGTCTTTTTTTATAATGTTTTTAGATATGATCGTCTGTCTGTCCGTACGGATGTCGAGGTCTCGGTAACCATAAAAGAGTTGGGACTAATCATGTATAAGTGCTTTTGAAGCATAGGTAGCGCGAGGTCGTTCACCGTAACGTCAAAAAATCGTGAAATTCTTTTGAGACAGAAATTTTGTTTGGTGTTTAGTTATTTGATCAATATCTATCAACGTAAAAAAAAATTAAAAATCGAACGAATCTTTTCGAAGTAATTAAGTAACGGGTATCTAATAAGCCAGGTACTCGGCTTCTGCGTTCCGTTTTGTTATATGTCCAACACTTGTCTTTGTTTCAAGTTTCCTTTGGCTTGTTTTCTCCACGTTCATGGGAACTGCATCTGGGAATTCTTTTTGCAGAAAAAAACATTTTCCCACCTTTGTTAAGCCACTGGCCTTAAAATACCATGGTTGGTTGCATGGGAAGAGAAATTTTCACTTTAGGAGGGGCGTAAAGAAATTTGCATTATATTCGTATTGGTGCAAGCCATAAAATATATTTTTGCTTCATGAAATTAATTTATTAAATAAAACCATGTAACACTCTAGCTAAGATGATCAAACCACAACACCACGTGACGAGCTATTAATAACGTGATGATGGCACCTTTGACTCCAAAAACTTTGGATACCAGAATTTGTTACGATTATTATTTTTTATTTAATTAGATTCGTAACCAGTACGCTGGTTTGGAATTTTTAAGTAGCATGGCTGATTTTATTAAGCAGCTTTGTGCCGAATAAGAAACTAATTAAATAAATAAAAGTTAATTTTTTGTTAAAGTAAATAATAATTGATATCAAAAGTTTTTGGAGTTGAACGTGCGATCATCACTTTATTAGTACCTCGTCAAGAGATGTATTTGCTTGATATCAGGAGATTTTGTATGAAACTACAATCATATTACTGCAAAGCTTCGAAACATACAATAAAAAAAAACCTTAAAGCACGACCATGAGTCAACCCTGTATGATTTTTCTATTGCAAAAACCAAAAAACCAGCACTTTAAAAATTATTACAGAAGTCATGATACACCAGTTGATTACAACTTTGCACGAAAAATTCTCCTTTATTCAATTTACAGAAATCAAAATTAAGAAATAACGTTACATTTGCTTCACTTATCCTATAACTATAACAACAAAAACGTCCTTAGTTTACTTAGAAATTATAAAAACATAAATACTTGTATTAAGTAAGTTGGATCCACATGAGTTATGATACACTGACCTATTTTGGCTTTTAAACGGGATTTTTTATACCCTTGCAGAGGGTATTAAATTTTTAAGTCAGAAGTTTGCAACGCAGTGAAGAAGACATTTCCGATCCCATAAAGTATATATATTATTGATCAGCATCACTAGGAGAGTCGATCTAGCCATGTCCGTCTGTCCGTCCGTCTGTCCGTCTGTCAGTCTGTCCGTCTGTCCGTCTGTCCGTCCGTTTCTACGCAAACTAGTCTCTCAGTTTTAAAGCTATCTGCATAAAACTTTCCCTAAAGTTGTCTTTCTATTGCAGGTAGTACATAAGTACAAACTTGATCACTGATTACTGATCCA